ACCTTGGGGACCAGCTTTGGGAATGTAATCTAGTGGTTTTGAGCAAGGGGGACAGGGAAAGGGAAGGGCAAAACCCGTCTGCACCCTTCAGCTTTACTATGTAAATTCATCCAACCCCTGTCACCATTCCCACAGCTCTTGGGTGTGACCCTGACCTGTTAAGAGCATGATCTTTCTGTGTCTCTGACTCTGTGTCTTGGCCCTAATCTGCTGTGTGATCCCTGCAAACCATCGACTCTCTCAAGTTTCCTCAGAAACAACCTTTGGAGTGGTCTTTTCTCCTCTTTTCTGTTTAACCACATGCCTCTCCCACTGCCCCAAAGAAAACTCCCTGAAATGACTCCAGATTCACACGAAGCAGAGGTGAAGCTCTGCCTTGAGTTTTTGCACCCCTTCCCCACCCGTCGTGGATCCCCTGCCCCCATCATTTCTGGGTTAGATCATTGCATTGGTTACCTCTCTCCACGCTGTGACCAAACACCTGAGACGGCCCATCAGGACGGGCAGGCTTGGTGGCAGGAGGCTTGTGTCACAGGTCTGGAAGCAGAGACAGCTCAGTGTTGGCTTCTTCTCTGATTTGTTCAGTCTAGGCCTCCTGTCCCTGGAATGGGGGTGTCCACATTCAGAGTGGGTTGATCCTCTCTGGAAATACCATACAGTTACAACCAATGGTGCGTCTCAATAATGCCCTAAACACGTCTTAGTCCTGTCAAGCTGACAATGCAAAGAAGTATCCATCTCATGGCACCTGTGCCGTGGTCCACCTGCTCGGCTCTTCCTCGGGGAGCTGGAACCTGGCAAAGACGGGAGCGGCTGGGCACAGAACAGAGAGTGGTCTCATTTCAGAGGGTTGAGGAAAAGGGATGTTCTGGGCAGTGTGAGGGGGCAGGCCAGGGGTAGGAAGCCCAGGCTCCACTTGAGAGCTGGAGCAGGGCCCGGAGCATTAGAGTACAGTGATGTGACAGGGCTTAGGGCACTGTCTGGGCTGCCTTTGAGAGGCCTCCTCTCTCAAGTGGGTGGGTACTTGTTCTTAATGATCAGATCTCCCCGGCTCATTCAGTCAGGGCTTTCTCGGGGAATCCTCTAAAGGGCAGAGCAGGGCCTGACACCTGGGAAACATGTGTCCTCCGGCCTCGGTTTCGTTTCCTAGGAAACCAAGCCTTAATGATCTCTCTGGCCAGGATGCTTTTTTGTTGTTGTTATTGTTTTTTGTTTTGTTTTGGAGACAGGGTTTCTCTGTGGCTTTGGAGGCTGTCCTGGAACTAGCTCTTGTAGACCAGGCTGGTCTCGAACTCACAGAGATCTGCCTGCCTCTGCCTCCCGAGTGCTGGGTAAAGGTGTGTGCCACCAATGCTCCATGCTGGGAACCTGCTTGGAGTTGTCCTCTTAAAAGGAGCATGTCTTATCTCTTACCTCAGGAACCTTGGGAAAGTTTCCATGGGAGCCTTATGTTGAAAAGGAAAACTTCAGATTCATCTTCCATGAGCTACAGAAACAGTTTTTCTCCTGTATTGAAATTATTATACCTTTCCCTGATAGAAAAAACGAAAAATGTTGACCTGTGTGTGTGTGTGTGTGTGTGTGTGTGTGTGTGTGTGTGTGTGTGTGTGTAGGGCAGAAGTTTGCATTGGTGGCTTTTTAAACCTCTCATTAAACCTCTTCCAGCCCCCTGTTTGGGTCAGTTGGGACCCACTCGTCTCTGCTCCCTCTGTGCTGAGGTCACAGTGCTGGCACCTGACCTTTTCTGAGGGCACTGGGCTCTCCTTCATGCTTGTGCAGCAAGCTTTACCCACCAAGCCACTCCCAGTCTGGCAATTATTGCTTCGTTTTCCTTGTGATAATTGCTTTGTTTTTTGACAGACCTGGACAGGGCTGTCATGCAATCCTTCCCTTCATGTTTGGCTTCTACAGTACATACATGGACAAGGTTATTTCTCTGCAAAAATATCTCAGGGCCTTTTTCTGCTTTCCCAAGGGCTTCAGCTCAGCCCTTTGATGTGCAAATGCTCCTTTTGAAGCCCCTATCACCATCACCCTCAGCGTTCTTTTCTAGCTGTTAACTGGGTACCTTCCTTCTGACTTCGGCAGTTTAACTCCAAAGTTTTCAGTCACTTCACAGAAAGTTCCTATCACCAAGAAGCACCTTTCTTTTGCATTTGCGTACATATGATGATGTAAAACATTAAATAAAACATGTTTGCTTCCTTCCTCCCTCCCTCCCTTCCTCCTTCCTTCCCTTCCTTCCTTCCTTCCTTCCTTCCTTCCTTCCTTACTTCCTCCCTTCCTTCCTTCCTTCCTTCCTTCCTTCCTTCCTTCCTTCCTTCCTTCCTCCCTTCCTTCCTTCTTTCCTTCCTTCCTTCGTGACAGCCCCACCTGCTGAGTGCTGGAATTTGAGCCTAGCTTAAAAAGTGTTTTCATTGACTATAGCTGGTTATGACTTTAGGGATGCTGGCTAGCATAAATGGGCAGAAGGGTGCGGCTGAGGAGGGGCTTACACAGGAAAGCAGTCTCAGCAGTGAATCTTTTTGTGTACTGAGGTCTGCCTCTGGTGTGCTTTCTCTTAATGGAAATGTGCTCAGATGCAAAGGCCAAGGGGAAGCACCCAGACAGAAACAGCTCGTGCCTCTGCTTGCTAGTAGTGGTCTCAAGTGTCCTGTAGCAGAAGATCCGGAGACCCTTTGGTCTTAGTGATGTTGTGCCCAGATTCTGAACCCCCAAATCACCAAGAGACCCATTCCAATGCAAAAACAGAAACTAACTGCATTAATTTGGGCCCTTCATCCGTTCATCACCATCTTGGCGGATGATAAGGGAAGGACGGTGTGGGGGAGGAGGCGTATGTAACACACTGATGATGATGACTTATCGTAAGGGGAATGTCTAGGAGAACGCAAAAGTCTCAGGATTGGTGCTCTTCCAGGCTTGGGCGGCCTGTGCTGTGTTGATTGGTCAACTGCTTGTTATGGACTATAGGTCCTCCCAGGGTGGTTGCTAGGCTCTGCCCATCACTGTTGTGCACTTGTACCATAAAGCACACCCAGAGTCCCACCAGCTAACTTCTGATTGGTTCCTTGCCACGAGGAGGGTATCTGACCTCATAGTGACTAGGGCAGGCCCAGCAGGATTAGACATGTGCTGAGTCAGAGAACTACATGGCTTTTCTGGGGCCTGTCATGGCTGCTAAAGCAGGGACTGGTTCCCTTCATGAAGTCAGCATTCTATGATTGGTTAGTAACACGTGATGAGGTGGGAACAAGGTCAGAGGTCACTTACACGGAGTGTGGCTAACAGAAGCCATAGTCAATTAGTCAAGTGCTTGCTTTACAAGCTCTAGTTTAACCCCAATGTTGACCTATAAAACTGAGTGCGGTGGCAAACCCTTAGAGTCCCACAGCACTGGGAGTGGAGCCAGGAGGAGCCCAGGCTCTCACTAGCAAGTCAGCCTAACCAATCAGTGAGCCCAGGTCCTAGTGAAAGGTCTGGTCTCAAAGTCAATGTGCTTTGCAAAGAGTCAAGTCCCAAGTTGACTTGTGGCCTTCAACGCGTGTGTACACACGCGCCCAGCCTCCCAACGCACACTCACACAATCTGAGGGAAAATAAGAAGAAACTGGAGTTGGTGGACTACTCTGGTAGCCACTGCTGGGTCACTTGAGCAGCTGGACGATCAAAAGGAAGTCCAGTGGTCACTGGCAGCACACGTGACCTTTTTGTTCTAGTCGTTTCTGCTTCCCTGTGCTCTCCAGTACTGTGGGAAATGTAGGTGTGAAACCAGGGGGACAAGGAAGCACGGTCCTTGTTGTTATGACTTTGGCTCAGAAGTTAAGGCAGGGCCAAGTTAATTCCAGCCCAGGAACTTGTGTGTGCTATTGGAAGTTACCACATCTGCGTGGATGTCATCTCCTTAGCAATATGGCGTGGATGTCATCTCCTTAGCAATATGGCGTGGATGTCATCTCCTTAGCAATATGAGCCTGTTAGAGCGACTGCTGTGCTGGGCAGCTCTGAGTGCTGTGTGAGACCCAGGCTTCCTCCTGGATGACACAGTTCTCTTCCAGGAAAGTGCTACTACAGTAGAACAGAGCCTAGAGCTTGCAGGTCACCCTGATGTCACTTGTTCCGGGGGTGGGGAGGTGGGGAGGTGGGGGAGGTGAGGGGTGGTAATTTACAGATGTCAAAGAAGCTGGAGAGCCACAGGAGATGGGTGGAGGCGGTAATACCAGGAGTCTGGGCAATGTGTTCCTGTGTGCCTGCAGGAGTGTGGTTGCTTCTCCAGAAAGCCCTTCCATCCCCACTGGTTATCTTCAAGGCTAATCAGAAGACATGCGGTACTCTGTGCGTGCCCAACCTTTGCCAGCCTCTCAGAAATGGCTTTGTTTGAGAGGAAGCAGTATTCAAATTTGTTCAATCTCCCAGTTTCGATGGAGCCTTCTGCTTAGGAGGGATGCTGAGGTGGGGAGGGGAGGGTGGGTGGGGTGGAGGGAGAGCTACTTACCCGATAGTCTCTAGGCGAATGGGATGTTTGCCATCTCATTTTGAGAATTTTCACATTGACATGTGAGTTAGGGCTTTGGGAGAACAGAAAACTTCAGAAGAGAAGGAAAGAGAGAATTCTGAACAGGTTACAGCTTAAAATACCAATAATTGACTCTAGCATCGTGAAGGGTGGTGAGATAAATGATTCCAACATTGATTTCTCTCCTAGAATAAGCTGCAGGTGAACAGCATCCTTTGTGATGCTGGTTCACTTGCAATCCCGTCTCAGATGATAGGAGCATCAGTTGTGGGGCACCAAGGAAGGCACTAGAAGGTGTCAGGTTTAATCATCTTCCGGGCTCTTTGGAGGGGTAGATGTGTTACCCACCAGTCCAGGCTTCATCACTTTCTGGCTGTATGACATTGAGTCACATTCTCTAAGCTCTAGGGTCATCATTTGTAATGCAGAACTAATAAAGCTAAGCCTGACTGAGATGCTTCCAACCAGTAATGCATAATGAGTGATCAGTATTTTACAGTTTATTATTAGTTTCAAGGAATAGGCGCTTTCCCGGGGTCACATGGGAAGTCAACTGGTCAGAACTTAAGCAAATGTCTACACTCAAATCTCCTCCCCCTGCTTCTCTCTGGTTTGGGACATGCAGTGATTTCGTATTTGATAGGTACCATGAACAATTGCTGCTCAGCCAGGTCGCTAGCAGTCATTATCTTGGTTAGTCTGGTGCTGCCCCTTTGGAAAAGTAAGCAATAGGAAAATTACCCAAGAGGCATACAGTACCAAGTACGGTTTGTAAGGTGCCCTTTACCTGTTGTTAATTGGAAAGACATCTTTTTTATTTTATACTGTCACACTTTGCATAACCTCTAATCCCATGAACTGGGCCGATGATGTGCAACAGTACCAAGGAAGGACAGGCAGTGTTGTCCTTTTAGCTCAGAAGTGAAGACCAGCCCTCTTCCTCAGTGTCCTCCCTTGCTGTCTAAACCCTGTGACCAAGGCTGCAGACCTGTTAGTCCTGCTCAGCAAGTAGAGGTGTGTGCTTCTGGCTTTCACCCCGAATCTGGCTCTTATACTTCTAAGCCCACTTATCCAGCTTCCCTGGGCTCTTCCTTTTGCCTGTGTTTCTCCTAAGCCTTGGTTTTGAAACCTTAATGTGTGCCCAAAGCCTCCCTGGAGGACTGCGTGGCCGTCTGGGGCCCTGAGTGTCAATCATTCTCCTGGGCGGTGCCATCGTCACTGGTTCTCGGACCACACCTGCTACAAAATAAACTTAGCTCTTTCCCTTTCCCAGCAAGGCTGAGGATCCTGAAGCTTTATTGTTCAAGAATGAAAACAATAAATCAATAAACTTGGCTAGCCATGAACTAATGATTTGTTGAAATGATCTGCTCTTTAACCCCTACCTTAGTTAGATAAAAGCTGTTAGAGGCAGCAGCCAAGCCAGGATTTTCCCTGCACCCTCACCCTGGGTTTTATCTCTACTCATGTTTATGTTAGCTTAAGCCTAGTGCCTCACACATAGGTCTCTTGGAGGGCAGTGCCTCTAATCTAATGTTTCCAAAGAAACCAGCAACTGCTGGCTGGTAAAAACAAAGCCCGGCAGATTGCTGTAGGATGAAGAGTTCATCTTCTGTTTGTGTCTCCCCAGAAGCTCTGGCCTCGGAACTGGGCAGACTAAGGTTTCCTGACTACAAGCTTCATATGGTTGCCTTTTAACCTTGGCCACAAGCTCCATTCACCACAGACAGCCTGGGATCTACTCAGGTTCTCTTTCTGGAAATTTCTGTGAGTCGGTGAGCTTGGGCTACCAGCAGGTGATCAGGAACTTTCGCCCCACATCTTTCATATCGTCATTTCCTTCCCAGCAGATCTGAGCCGCAGCTGGTCTGTTTGTGTCAGTCAGACAGTGAAGTCGCCTCCGGGGAAAGTGTGGGACGTGCAGTCACTTTGATGACATTTCCTTTTACCTGTGTCTCTCCCTGTCACTCCAGCTGTGAAGAGTTGAAAAGACAACCAGAGGTCAGAGGACCCTCAGAGAGAAACATGAAGTACGGCTTTACGGACATTTTCCAGGTAGCATTCTCTACTGAGTCATGAAGCTGCTATCAGATATTTTTCCTACAGGGCTCTGAAGAGGCTTACTATGCAGTCTGTGATGCATCCTGCAGGGATGGAGAAGGAAGGCTGTGAGAGGAGATAGCCACTGGTCTCTATGCCCTTGGCATGAAGCTGGGTGCCATGACAACACTTGACTTTGGAGACCCATCCTCCAAGGATCCATCCTTCCCAGAACTCATGAGCACCCAGACAGACAGCTTCAGGGATAAGACGACTAATGGACTTCCCATCACCAAGCCCTACCCGTTGACTAAAATGTCTGTGTGTGCAGCTCTCCCCCAACCACTGCCTGCCTGTTCCCACTTCTGCCTAGCCTTCCTCCCTTCCTCCCATTACTGTACCTTGAACCCTTAGAACATTCTGGAAGAAAAATATACTTGAATTATTGTTCTCCTAGAGTTCCTCTTCCACTTAGAAGCCTATAATAGTATGATGTTGCCATCAAGACTAAGGCCTGAACACTCCTGCCCATTCCAGGATATTTTGCCATCTGCTGTTCCTGGGGCATCAACCTTATTTCCCAGGACTCTGCACTGGGAACTCTGTTGACCTGCTTTCTCTCTCCTGCCCTCTGGCTGCTCTTCACATGTCCCCTCAAAAGAGCTCACCCTTCCCAATGCCCTTCATGACTGTCTTTAATGTATCAATTAATTAATTTGTTGTCTGCCTCCTCAAAAGACATGAGTCAGCTCTCTATCAGAATGTCAGAGGGTAGGGGGCTGGACAGCAGAAACCTTCTGTGCTGGACAATTTTATGTCAACAGTGACACAAGCTAGAGTCATCAGAGAGGACAGAAGCTCACCTGAGAAAAGCCTCCCAAAGATGGACTGCAAGCAAACCTGTGAGGCATTGTCTTAATTAGCAGTTGATGTGAGAGGCTCCAGCCCACTGTGGGTGGTGCCATCCCTGGGCTGGTGGTCCTGGGTTCCATAAGAAAGCAGACTCAGCAAGCCTTGAGGAGCAAGCCAGTAGTAAGCAGCACCCTCCATGGCCTCTGCATCAGCTGCTGCCTCCAGGCGCCTGTCCTGTGTGAGTTCCTGTCCTCACTGCTTTTGATGATGAACTGTTATATGGAACTGTGAGGGAAATAAATACCCCCCATGCTACTTTCGGTCATAGTGTTTCATCACAGCCATAGTAACCCTGACTAGGAGAGTGTCTTACAGTTCTAGAGGCTGAAGGCTGAAGATGTCAGGAAGCAGGCCTCTGTCCTGGGTCTGCCTCTCTGTGGGTCCTCACATGATCTTTTCTCTGCATGTGAGGGCCTGGCATTCTTCTGTACGTATTTCTTCTCACAAGGACGTTAGACAGATTGTGTTAGGGTACATCCTCATAGCCACATTTTAACTCGGTCATCTCCGAAGAGGCCCTCTGTCCAAACTCAGCTGGTTTCTGAGGTGTGAGGGTTAAGCCTTCTGCATATGAATTTTGAGGGGCACAATTCAGCCATGACGATTTCAATTCTCTCTCACTAGTGAAGCCACTAGGGCCTAGCTGTGGCATTCAGCCGGGAGTGGTTTGTGACCTGATGATGTAAAGGAAGCTATTGTCTCTCTCTGAGGCTTCCCCCCACCTCACCCACAGGCCATTTGAAGCCTAAGCTCATCTCTTCCTAAGGGGTTGCCCATGCCTGACTGACTCCCTGGTCTGGCCTGTCTCCACGTATGCAAAGCCTCACATGCCAGTTCTCCTAGGTTTGCCTCCATAAGAGGACCGGCTGGCTCGTGCAGGGCAGCGTGCCTCCTACAGACCGGGAACAACTCCCTTCCTCCAACCAATGGTGGTTTCTCCTTCTGGAATGATCTGGAGCTACTAGCGGCTATATTTGTTTATCAAATCTCTTTGGGGATCCTTGAGGGAATTCCAATCAGATCTGGGGAAGGTTCCTCCTCCCTAATCACTCGGCCCCCAATTCAGAGCTGGGGCAGGAAAATAGTCGTGAGTTTAGGTTCCCGAATTGATAAAGCATGTTCACTTCATCCTAAAAGTAATTGCTGCCAGGATGGGAACCATCGACTCCTCAGCCTTCCCCATGCAGCAGATTGAAGACACCTTACTCCCCGAAGAACTGCAGATCCCTGTGGAGGACACCGCTCTGTTTCCAGTCACTATCTTGCCAGGCTGAGAAGACGGTCTTCTGAGATTTAAAGAGTTAAGACTAGTTATTATTGAACACAGTCCCGGGTAAGTTAATTATTGACTTTGCTTGTGAATCATTCATAGCCTTTTAGAAGTATCCGAATACTTCCTCCGGCAGCAAATGTTATCCTGGCCTGTTTGTAGGATGGAGGCTGGGGTCAGGGAGAGTGTGAAGAATTAAGACACTTCTCTTCCACTCTGAACATTAACTGCCCCTTTCAATACAGCCTTTTTTTTCCCAGGTTACCTGTTCAGGATGCTTCAGTTAACTAGAAGACTCATGGGTAGTGTGCCATTCTCTACACCATGGCATGGGAAGACACCAGCTAATTTCTCTTTCGTCTGTGAATGAAGCATTGAGGACCAGCCATCTTGCCTGTGTCCCATGGGTTTCAGCCATCTTGCTTGTGTGTCCCGTGGCTTTCAGCCCTGGCTGTAGGAATGCAACATCTTTAGTTCTAAGTAATTCTTCTGATTACATCCCTTAGGGGTTAGATTAAAAAGCAAGGCTTTCAGCTGACCTGCCAGGGAGGCGTTTCTGAGGGTTTGTGGTTAACCAAGGCCACACACCCAGTAAGCTACAGATGGGGTTTAATGGAAGTGGCGTCTGTTGGGGGCTGGACTACTGGGGTGTCTGGTATCAGCTGGGCCTGCCTACTTTTACATGAGAGGAGAGGGGCCCTGTCAGGTCTCACTGGCTGCAAGGTTCAGGTTCAATGCCTGTGAAAACAGACACCAAAATAACCAAAGAGCTGCATTCCTGTGTTAGAACAGCTAATCCCCGTCCTTTGAAGGGACAGAAACGGTAGGTGGAGGGAGGCACACTCTCGTAGACCAGCCCTCTGGTTTGCTTGTCCCAAGTCCTGTAGTTCTCATAGTGCCAAAGTCAATTAATCGTGTCTCAGTCCGTTACAAATGACAACAAGGGGCTTTTGGTTTTCAGTTTTTGAGATTGTGTCTCAGTCTGTTGCCCAGACTGGCCTCAAACTCAGAGCAATCCTCCCTTCTCAGACTCCCAAGTGCTGAGGCCAAAGCATGAACCACCACGCCAGGCCTAGCTTATGGGTGATTTCTGGTGGTGAATACTGACTGATCAAGATACAGTCAACTGCTTTCCTGACACTGTATCATGAGCTTTCATGATTTTCAAATAACTTTGGAAGTATTCATTATTCAAGAATTTAGATTCATATAAGCTATTTTCCAAATCCAAAAAATGATGGCAAGAGACTTCTTTATTAATTTTTTTAGCTTGTGTGCAAAATAGTGGGTTTTATTATGATGTCTCCACACATGTAGGTAGCATCATACTTTGCTCATATTCATTTCCTGTTACCATCTCTTGTCCTTCCTCACTGGTCTAGTGTTTATTTTGAGACAGGGTTTCACTATATAGTCCAGGTTAGCCTGGAACATATGGTCCTGCTCCCTCAGTGCTGAGTGCTGGTATTGCAGGCATGCTGGCATGAGACGTATAAAGTCCACAAATGAATGTTTTCATCCTCAAAAATGGATGTGATTTACTAAAGCTAGAGGCAAATCATCCTCAACCTGTGCAGTCAACAGTCAGGTTTCCAGGCTGGCCAGTGGAGCAGAGCGCGTCCAGGGGCACAGCTGCTTCCCGGGGACAGACTGCACAGCTGGCGGTGCTCCACTCTGTACAGTTGCCTCTTTCTCTTGAATGCTGGGAAAGGCATGTACCACCACTGCCAGGCAGGGACCCGGCTTTATAACCTCCAACTTTCAGAGAAGGAAACTGAAGTGCTGAGTCCATTAGGTACCCTCTCAAGCATGTGGAATTAATAGAAAAATCAGCAATGTGGGTAGTTCTTGATGCTTCTTTAGCAAAAGACAAACAAGGAAAAAAACTCAACTCTCTGCCCCAGTGAAGATGCTTGGAGAAGCAGGTGACCTGGAAACATTCCTTGAGTCACACTACACTATTCTAGAGATGTCTGTCTGTGAGTGTGCATATATGTGTATGTGTGTGTGTATGTGTGAATGTGTGTATGTAAGTATATATGTAGTGTGTATGTGTGAGTATGTGTGAGTGTATGTGTATGTATGTGTGCATGTGTGTATGTGTGAATGTGAGTATTATGTATGCATATATGTGTGTAGGAGAGTGTGTGTATGCATGTATATGTGAGTGTGTGTATGTGTGAGTGTGTATTTGTATGTGTGAGTGTCTGTGTATTTGTATGTGTGTGTATGTGTGAGTGTGTGTATGTCTGTGTATTTGTATGTGTGTCTGTATGTATGTGTGAGTATTATATATGTATATATGTGTATCTGTGTTGTATGTGTATGAGAGTGTGTATATGTGAGTGTGTGTGTATTTGCATGTGTGTGTATGTATTTGTATATGTCTGTACATTTGTGTATTTGTTACGACCATCATCTTTTCTCTGCATACTCACAAGTGATTATAAAAAAAGCCTTGTCTGGCCGAGTGGTAGTGATGCACACCTCTAATTCTAGCACTCTGGAGGCAGAGGCAGGTGGATCTCTGAGTTGAAACTAGCTTGGTCTACACAGAGAGTTCCAGAGAAACCACATCTTAATAAAACAAAAACAAAATGAAACCCTGTCTGGCTGAGGTGGAGCCTCTGATGGTGGCGATAGAGCAAAGACAGGGTGAGCTGCTTTAGAGGAAGCTGGAGGCGAGTGAAAGGAGGGATGTGTTGCCGCAAATCCACATCTTGCCTTGCCCTTACTAGGTCCCAGAAAGTCCCATGGGCTTTACAGAAACAACTTACAAAGCTGCCCAAATGTCCCCCAAGGAGCTCCCTTTCAGGCTTTTAGCTACCTAACACTCACTCCGCACGCTTTTAGTCTTCTGGCAGCTTCTGGGGGCCCTGATGCTGAGTTTTCCACCAAGCCTCTAGAATTCCAGTAAGCCCAGCACCTCATTCCTCAAGTGTCCTGCCCTCCCTTGTTTGCCGGCTAGGTCTGCAAACTAAAATTCCACTGTAGAGGGAGTGTACACGGACCACTGGGGTGTCTTGGTAGGTAAAGATGCTTGTCACACAAACCAAGTGACCCCATCATGGTAGAAGAAGAGAAACACACACACACACACACACACACACACACACACACACACACATACACACATACACACACACACACACACACACACAGAGAGAGAGAGAGAGAGAGAGAGAGAGAGAGAGAGAGAGAGAGAGAGAGAGAGAGTAATAAATTAAATAAAACAAACAAGCCAGGTGGTGGTGGCTCACACCTTTGATCCCAGCACTTGGGAGGTAGAGACAGGCATATCTTTAAGAGTTCCAGACCAGTCTGGTCTACAAGAGCAAATTCCAGGGCAGGCTTCAAAGCTACACAGAGAAATCCTGTCTCGAAAAACTAAAATAAATAAATAAATAATAAATAAAATAAAACAAACAAGGTTTTATTTGACACTGTGCCTAAAGGGAAGTTTTGGGTCACACCTTAAACCCCTAGCTCCCTGGAGGCAGAGGCATGGGGATTTCCATGAGCTGGAGGCCAGCCTGGTCTACAAAGCAAGTTCCAAGATTGCTAGGGCTACGTAATAGAGATGCTCTGTCTCAACAAACAAACAAAAACAACCAAAAAAAAAAAAAAAAAACCAAAGAACAAACAACAAAAAACCCAAAAAACATATTTATAAAAAAGGAAGTTTTAAACTTAGCCCTAAAGGTTCTGGACTGCTAGTGTGACCCTAAGAGCTGGCCTAGTGCCCAAGATTTATAAGAGGTAAATTATATGGTTTTCCCATGCTAGACTTAAGGTGTGGCTTGTTTTTTATATGACTTTCCAGCAGATAAGCTAATGTTAGGTCTCTATTTTTCACACTTACTCCACATTGCTAAAATGAAGAAATGTAATTGTATGAGTGTATTTATAGCTTATAGTTTAATTCTTATTTGTTGATTTTATTCAAGTTTTCTTTTGCTGAAGTTTAATTTAAAAGCTTGTGCTGGTTAGCGTATTTATTCTTACTATAATGAAATAGACCGTCAACCAACAAACCGCTGAAAATTGGGGTTTTTATGAGTGTGTGGCCTTGGATTCATTTGTGCCTCAAGGCCAGGCTCCCTGGTGCTGGTGTGGTTATGCATCAGGTTCCCTTATCCTTCCCAGGCAGCAGTCTCTTCCCTTTCTTAGATAACCAGATAATGCCAGAATGATCAGCCCAGTTGCTCCCCTCTCTCCCCTCCCAAGGAAGTGCTTTTAGTTCTTTTGGAACCACTGGGATCCAAGGGCTAAAGCAAAGAAATGAAAGCCAACAACACAAACGGGGCTCTGCTTAGGGAAGGGCGGAGGAGAGGACAGGTCCAGGACAGACGGTACGAACACAGCGGACGGGGCGGAGTGGGTGGGGAGGAAAGATGAGTGTGTCTACAGGCCAACCACTGTGTGCTCCTGTTGTTAACAGCCTCAAAGGAGACATCCCTTCCCTCTGTTTCCTTTGGGGCAGTTTCACTGTGTAGCCCAAGCTGACCTTGAACTCACGATTGCCCCATCTCAGCCTCCCCAATGCAGGAACTACAGGTATGTGCCACCACACTCAGCTTCAAAAGAGAAGGTGAGCCTGAAGGACCAAGCCAGGCCAGGGTACAGGAGGACCGAGGTTCGTGTACAGGTATGTGTGGGTAGCCGTGACATGTAGGGAGATTCAAAGGCAAGGATCCAAGACAAGTCTGAGACAAGGTTGGGAGTCTGGGAGATAAACATGGAAGGGTGTTAGGATTGGAGTTCATGCAGAAGGAAGGAAAGTGCCTGAGCAAAAACTTAGACCCATCCTATGGTGGCTGGGGGCATTTCCAGGAAGGGCTGGCAAGTGAGACTGACTGGGAGGGAAGAGGACCCCATCCCAAATGTTTGTAGCACCTGCCGATGTGCTTGTGACCTGAATGTAAGAGAACTAGAGAAGACACAGGCCCCTTCTGAATGAGTGTGTGTACGGCTGCTACTGTTGTTCGCTGACGTCTGACGTCAGTTTCTTCAGCTTTTCCATGTGGACTGAATGCCAGTGGTTCTCCCAGGGAATGCTGGGGCCTCTAGCACCAGAGAGGGACACTGAGGCTTCCAGCTTCTCAGACCAAGAGCTGTTCATTCTATACACTTTCACAATGTAGATGGCCATTGTTGACCCACCCAGCTCTGCTGTGTAAGACAAGCCAACAGATTCCTCCTGTAACACAGACATGTGTTCTGTTGCTCACGTCCTGCCAGAAAGTCCCAGATAATACATGTTTGAGATGTAGTAGGAAGGATAGTGTATAGGGTAGACATATCTGAGAGAAAAACAACACCTAATTGTTCAGATCAGTCAATGAGTAAGCAATTTATACACATGTAAAGATGATTCCTATTGGAGAACAGATAGACTTGAACTTCAGCATTGTTCAGTAGGGTTTGTCTTCTAAGTCAGAAATTACGTATTTCCATGTATCTCTCAAGGCATTTTACAACTTGTTCATCTTCTAACATTCAATAGTCAACACACAATTAAAACCTGACTTTCTGTTCAGTCAACAAATGCTAAGTTCAGCTGGTTATAGCTTCTCTGAGAGGCAATCAATACATAATTCCATATTAGCTAGAGTTCAGTAAGACACGGGTGACAGAGTAT